GATGAAACGTGGCTGGACATTTCAGCAAGACAAAGACCCCAAACACAAAGCCAAGGAAACTCATCAGTGAGTAAAACATTGTTTTACTTCTAATATTTATGTATTTATTTTAGATTTAATCAGTCATACACTTAGTTCTTATCAATGTTTAAAAGAGGACATGTTAAAACACTTTAGTCAAAGTTAAACATAAAACATCAAAGTTCATTACAACTGGCCCTTCGAGGGACACCATAACACTTATGTGGCTCTTGGTGAAAATGAGTTTGACACCCTGATCTAATGTTTTGATGAATGTATCTGTCAAAGAGGCCTGTCCTAATGTCAGACTCTGTCTTCGCAGTGGATAAACCCAGCATCATCAGTGTGGACATCCGACTGATTGAACCAAAGGATTTAAAGTATGACCCAGAATCTTGCATCATGGAAACACCAAGCTCAAAGGTCTACAAAGGACAGTTTGGTGGATTCACAGTGGCCATCAAGCAATACCTTGATCCACTGAACACCAGCCCAGGGTATGTGCCACTCCTCAACATAGATGGATACATAAGTAACCAGAGGTCAATGGGCTCCGATACCGCTGAGCTGCAGATTTAAATATCAAGCACAGGACAAAAAATTATTACATTTGATATAATTACTCTAAGTTTTTGACATACAATAGTTGTACATACATCTGTGGTCTGATGTTGCCTTCACTCATCATAGGTTAAATTTTGACTCGTAATTATTATGACCCCCGCACGCGAAGCGTAAGCAGGAGTCATTGTTTTCGTACAGTTTTTTTTCAGTGATTTTTGGTCAACCGTAGCACAAAATGGCTGCACCGGTCAATGTGAAATTTGGCAGGACTGTAGTGAGTCTGACCTACACTGCGCCAGCCAACGGTTTTACGATAGACCCCATATTTGAGGAGGGGGCTCCTTTCAAAGAGGGGTTGTCAGGACATGCAAAAATGCTTATAACTCAGAAACTGTTCAACATAGGAGCTTCAGATTTCTTTTGTTGTGTAGCTCTGATGAAGCTCTATCCATCAGGCCCACCAATCAGTGTCCCCCACTCCCCCACCCCAATTTATCTGAAAAAGGGGGGTCTGGACATACAAAAAGAGTTATTGCTCAAAAACTATTAAAACATAGGAGCTTCAGATTTTCTTTGTTGGTTAGCTCTATCCTTCAGGCCTACCAATCAGTGAAAATTAGATTTATTAGAAATAAAGACTTCTGAGTTCTGGTGCATTTCTGCGTGCGGGGGTCATTATGTCACTGCTACGCATAGCAGTGACAAAAACTAGATACCGCAGTATCTAGTTTTAACCAAGGTGGAATGATTACAGAACCTTGAGCTTTAATGACTGATGTTTGAATTTATTTGAAAGTTTCTTTCCATCTGAAACCAGTTCTGATGTGTTTGGTATAGGGCTGTCAAAGGATTAAAATTTTTAATCTATGCCCATGCAGCACTAAAATTAATCAGAGTTAACTCAATTAATTTCACAGCCCTAGTTTGGTATCATTGTTTTGTTGTAACCCTCAACTGTACCCAGTTTTCCTTAAGAAATCAGAAATCAAATTTGATTAGAATTGAAGTTGAAGAGTTTAAAGATCCACTTTTTGTAATGTGTCAACATCACAGCATGATGCTCCCACCACCATGCTTGACAGTTGAAAGAGTGTTAAAGTGTTATTAGGCCTGAAAGCCTCCTCACCTTGACACTTCCAATCATCTTTCTTGTCCATAAAGTTTAGTCTTTGTCTTGTCTGATCATCAAATGAAGGTAATACGCCTTGTCCATCCAGTTTTAAGACAACCTTTTTTAAGCCACTTCAGTAGAAAACAGAACTGAATATTACTTTCTTCATCATCAGTGGCTTTTTCCCTTTATTAAAGAGAAGAAGAAAAAGAAAGAGAAACAAGGGAGAAATATATTGGGGAAGATTGAAAGAGAGATTAGAGAAGATATGTGAAATATGAACCAAGAAAACTGTTGGGGTCTATGGTGAATGAACCCAGGAGCAGGCAGACACGAAAACTTAAAAATTAAGCTATTTATTAAATAAAACAAAAGGCTCACAAGGCAGCAAAAACTTAATAACACGGGAGGCTCAGGGAGGTGACAGAAAGACACAAGAAACAGGAGACCGAGACTGATGGACGGTGCCATACAATGAACCAGCGGTGAATGAAGGAGAGGAACCAGAATTTATATGGAGGGAGGAGAAATGAACAACAGCTGAGGAGGACTGATTACAAAACTGCTGACAGGCGAGTAGATTAACTAGGAAGGGACTGAAAACTGAGGGCTGAAATGAAAGTGTAAAACACAGGGGCAACACCAGAGGGAGACATAGCACAAGACACCAAATCCTCACCAAAACACAAGACAACACACTCGACATTTATCTGCACACCTGGAGAAATGGAGAAAACAAAAGTTTTAAGACATCTTAAAACCTTTATTGTGTGAATGCTTATCAAGTGTTCACACTGTTGCGATTATCTATTTTTCTTTCATATGTATATCATATATATATCATTGCATGTAACTTAGTCTTCAATTTTTGTGCTATTTCATCAATTCATATATAAAAACGTTCAGCTCTCTTATGTCATGGGTGCAATGACTTTTGGTATTTCAGGAACTGCTTTTTCAGTTTTTAGCTTGTTTGGCCACTTTTTTCTTCAGCACCCTTAAAAAACCCTTCAAAAATGTTTATAAAGCTTCACTGCACTTTTTATCCTTTATTCTGGTTTTTCTTCTTTTTGCTAATTTCAGCTTCCTTTGGCTCATTTTTGTGTGCACTAATTTTAGCTTGTTCTGCTATTTCAACTGTCTTTCTGCTATTCTTCTGCTAATTACAAATTTTGTGTTTTGTTTTCTGCAAATTTGAACTGTTTTCTGCCTTTTCTGCTCCTTTTTGATAATTCAGCTAATTTTTGCATTTTTCTACTAACTTCACCATTTTGCAATAATTTCATAATTTCAGCAAACATATGCTCTTTTTGCTTCTTTGTGCAGGTTTTTCAAGGAGTTGTAGCAATTTTACAACAAATTGCAAATTTTTGTACTTTGTTTTGTTGAGTTTTTTTTCAGTCCTTTTATCATTCTGTATGTCTGCAAAATCCATTCTGTTATTTTAACTATATTTCTGCTCTGTTCTGCTTTTTGGAGACTTTTTAAAAAAAAAAATTTCAATTAATTTTGCATTTGTTTTTTCCTACTTTCAGCAGATATCAGCTTTTCAAATTTATCTCATATTAATGGTTTTGTTATTACACATTTTCAGCTTCTTCCACAGATTTCAGCATTAAGCATTCACACTGCATTTAAACAGGAAATTCAAATTCTCTAGTTGTAGCTTATGAACAGATTTTGGTGAATGTATGGATATATTTGACCCTGTCTGGCTCAGAGTTAAATACACAAATAATTCAAACTTATTTTTAAACAGTCGCTGAAGCTGCATGTTGTCTAATCACTCCAGACTAGAAAAAGTAATAGGTCAAATGAATCTTCAGAAAAACAAAGTTATTCCGATATTAATGGGTTTCTGATCAGAACTGTACAATACACTGTCTCCATAAAACAACACTTTGTCCACTTGCAGGGAGATAAAATCTATTTTTGATAAGGAAGTTGATACCATGAAACAGTTTGAGTCTCCAAATATCCTGCGAATGTTTGGCATCTGTATCCTGGATGAGGACAGTGAGTAGCTGCTGCATGAGATTCACACGTGCCCGATAATTTTAAATTAACAGGAATTTAAATGTCTTCTTCTGACTGCCTGCAGAACATAAACCCCAGTACCTCATCATCATGGAGTACTGTGAAAAAGGAAGTCTGCGAGATGTTCTGAGCTCTAAAACTGAGCTGTCTTGGGCCAGGAAAGCTTGCATGTGCCTGGATGCAGCACAGGGACTTTATCGGTACGCTTGTCTTTGTCCTTATTTATAGAGAAATTTTTACCTTTTGTTCTGTATTTTTTTTTTACCTTTAACTCTACAGAAACTCTTAAGTAATCTCACGCTCATGACAGACTTGTTTCAAGTGAAAATACAAGATATAAATATAGCTACTGATACAGTAAATGTAGGGCATGCTGCTGTTAAATAAATGGAGGACATGTAGGAAGGAATGCACATTACCCAACACCAACTTCTATCCCAGAGTTTTAAACTAAGATCATCTTATGATGAGAGGTGATGAAGTTATTACTGTTTTGGTCACATCTTGTAAATTACATTATTCATGATCTCATGGGAATTTGTGTTAACTTGTGTGATTTGTTAGCAAATTATTGGCTAAGCGCATGTAAATGCTCACAAGCAGCCATTTCTTAGTTAATTATTAATTAATCAATACTCCACAGACCCCGCTTCCCTGGGTAATGCCGTATATCGCTGTATTTTCTAAAGGTCATACCGCGGTGATCAATTCCACCCAGCCCTACGAGGCAAGGGAGATGGTAGTCAGAAAACCTGGTTCTAATCTAGGGAACAGAAGTAGAACAGATTGACAACTTCAGATACCGCGTGGTGCACATCACACACAACCTCACATGGACACACCGCATCACAAGCCTGGTGAAGAAGAGCTGACTTCAGACTATCTACCGAAGGACTGAAGAACTTCTACACCTGCATCATTGAAAGCATCATCATCAGGAACATCAGAGCCAGGTCTGGGAACAGTACCGTGTGATCAGCCAAACATGCCACACATACAGAGCTCCCTGACCTACAGACCATCTACAACAAACAGTGCTGTACTCAAAACCCAAGCCACCCTAACAATGGGTTCTTCACCATGATGAGGTCAGAAAAGCATTACTGTACCTTGGGGACCAAGACAGAGAGGATGAGGAGTTTCTTTCCGCAAGCCGTTCAGACTTTCGACAAAGAAAATAACACATGATCCACCTCAATACTTCACACCTTCACACCTACTTCTGTTTTATATATTCTGTAATATTTCCATTTAATTTCCAGACAATTTGCACACTGCGGAACATTTCATAAAACATTTGAGTGGTACCATGTATAACTATGTATGTAACAAATAAACGTCTAAGTCTAATCAACTCCCTCTAAAGTCATCTCCAACTACAGAAGCTGTGAAGGTACAAATTTCAGTCTATCACAGGTGTTGTCCAATCTGACCCAAAGTTATTAGATTAGACTTGTGCCCTTTTCATGCCATAATCAAGTTTTGCTGACAGAACCAACTGTCTATACAGACATCCTGAGTCTAGACGTGAACTTAGGATGGAGACACTAAGGGTTCTTGGGGGCGGCTGTGGCGGAGTGGTTAGGTGAGTCGTCCTGGAACCAGAAGGTCACTGGTTCGATCCCCTGTCCAGCCGTCTCAGTCGTTGTGTCCTTGGGCAAGACACTT